ACGTATCTTGCACCAGTGCTACAATACTGTATGTGCATGAATTTTGATATCTCCCTGCTAAATGCAATCTCATCTAGCTTACTGTCATTCCTACACTATGTATATACAATGCTCTATTTTAAGAGCACCAACACATCCACTTTTGAAGCCATTCCGGGTGCACTGCAGTGCAACACACTGGCACACTTACATCTTTATTAGCAGCAAAATTATCAGAAAAATGGTGCATGGGTACAAATGAGTAGGTTTTGGGAACAATTGGTAATTTCTGGTGTGTATAGTGTTTTGGTGCTACAACAGCTACAGTTGAAGTCTCTATCACCCAGAGAACAGTATAATGTGTAGTTAGTTCTTCCTCTTCTTCTCCTGGAGAGATAAAAAAGAGAGGGAGAGGGAGAGAAGACAGGGTGGGGGGGAGGAAGGCAAAGATGTGGACGCATCAAGTAAAAGGTAGGATGGATGTATGGAACAGTTCACACAGTTTGAAACTCAACAAATATGCAGTTTACTGTAAGGTTCAATTTTTACTTGATTCATTCCTGAGGAGTAAAAAAGACTAAGTGTGGAATACACAAATTTAGCAGCCTCAGTAAAACTCTTTCTCTCTTTCTCCTCCCATCCTCTCTCCCTCTCTCTCCTTCTCTCTCTCCCTCCCTCCCTCCTCTCCCTCCCTCTCCCTCAGTCCATGTCTCACAAGAGGAAACAAACCTTGGAGGCCAGGATTACGAGCAGACGGCGGAAGATGTTGATGAAGTCGAGGAAGAGGTCGAGAGAGTGACGGACATAGTCGTTGTCTCCGTTGTTGAATCGCTCCACAATCAGTTGGGTGTCAAAGAGAACAAACCCACAGAACAGAATGTGACCACCGTACACATCCAGCTGTGAGGGGGAGAAGGTGGACAAGAGTCAACTAATTGTCATTTACAACCAAAAAGAAGTCTATAAGTATAGGTTATACTGTGCATCAGTGGAAATACGGGATTTAGACACCCCCGAGGGGCCTAGGAATAAGCCTATAAACCTAGAGAAGAGCCAACTCTAATGCTTGCTTGTGACATCTGTGCGTACTGCGTGGTGACACTTACTGTGTAGGGACTGTATAGGGGACAGTGAAGTGTATGTACCTGTACTACATGTGTATGGATGGTGTGTCTCTCCCACTACGTCTGTGTTTACTACTCGGCATGATGGTTCAACATGTGGAAACAGTCACGCCACGTACAACGTGTAAAACATGCACCGAGACAGACCTGGAAATGAGAGACTATACTTTACCTGGAAGACCATGTACAATCCCAGGAAGATAATGAAGAACAGCATCATCACCAACATGTTGAGTCCAGAAATCAGAAACCCTACATACATACACATACATACAGATATCATAAAACAAGAATTGTGACAAAAACTGCCAGAGTGCGAGGAAAAAACATTCCGTTTTTAAACTAGTTGAAGTTCTCCCACTTTACAATACAGTCATCCACAAAGAAAATTGATGCATTAACATGTACGGTAACGTGATTCTACTGGTTAACTAGCTATTGTCACATGACATAGTGTGGCTCCAAGAGTTGGAAAAGCAGCAACTGCCAATAGTTAGGGAAAACCCAGTGAAGATATACAAACAAACAGTAGGCCAAAGGAAGGAAGTGTTGGTAAGCTATCTCTATCTTCTGGGTGTGTCCTGGCAAATCTAGCATGGTCTGACATTTAGTATGAACAAACAGAAAACCTTATCCCATGCTCTCTGCTGGTGAGTAATGAAATGCTGCTGGCATACCTCCCAAAACAGCATACTTCTCCTCTCTGCATACAGAGCGGCAAGACTGAGGCTACCAAATATGGCACACGAACCAAGGAATACTGTGTACCATAGAGAGAGAGAGAGAGAGAGAGAAAGAGAAGATAAAAAATGGATAGGTCATGTTTACGTAGACATATCGAAATGTGTTTGAGACAATAGGTGTATAGTATGGGCCAGTTTCATCTACATGCATTCTGTGAAAATTGAACAGGAGAAAGCAGTATATAGTAAGCAGACAATTCACGGAGAAACTCTTTACTTGCCTGGGCAGAGTCCCTTAGCCCAGTCAAACCATGAACTGTGATAGTAGTAGCTACTCATGCACATGCAGTTCTGAATGTCACAAAAGAAACGTAATGTAAAGTGTGAATGAATTAACCAATGCAGACCTTGGCTGGATGTCAGCAACTGCACCAAGAAGTGGTCCCAGACTAACACCAGTGCATGCACCAAAGGCACAGAGGAAACCTAGAGATACCACGAGGGAGGGAGGAGAGAGAGGTTGTACATGAATACAGTGGTAGAGTGGTCATTGAAGTTTATTCATTACACAGCAATAGCAATACGTGAGAAGTGAAAATGTAGCCTACATGTACTGGTAGAGTGGGAAGTGGAGCAATAGCAATTATTGAGATGTGAAAACGTAGTATAGTCATTGTATGTAAATGCAGATGTGGACAATACCGAGTCTCTTGGCAGCGTTTCTCCGGGAGTGTGTGGAGTGAACATGATGGCAAATAGGAGACCGATGGACACCCAGGACTGCAGCAGTGAACCTGTGGTGTTGTGTTGTGTGGTTTGTGAAGGGAAGCAATAGTTTGTTCATTGGCATCATCAATCTACACGTAATTTGCCAAATCATATCAGGCCACATAATATAATACACATCACCAAGCATTTTTCTTCATCGCTCTATATTATACCTGGAAAGTCATCGGCCATTCATCATTTCATAGCACTTGGCAAATTCATTGCATCATTCCTTCTAAATTAGAGTATAATACAAACACCCATCAACCCCTAATTGAACATCTTGATGTGCCATACTAAACCGAGGACTTCGTGCCTAAAATTAAAACATCTGCCCCTTGTTCTTTCAAATTGACACATGAAACTGTTACTCAATGAATTGGCGCTATCTAGCTACTCCGAGTTTACTATATTAATTTTCTAAAATGGACACCATCAAATCTCATGATAAAGCAGTTGTATTTAATGATGGTCAAATATTTATTGTTACCTTTGCACTGCCTACACAATACCTGCATTGGAATGATAGATACAGTCGCATACAACGCTTTGTTTGTAAATCCAGCTCGGAGTCTCTTACCCCAAAACACACTTTTTTGTGGTTTTGTGTTTTGAAGCGATCTGGCATCAAGTGCCCCTCCCCCCTAGCTCAATCCACCCCTCACCCTCCACCACCAAAACCGGTTTTACTTCATCAAACCAAAGACACGTCAACCTGTTTCTATAAGGGCAAAAGCCCCTCAAGAGGTCTATTAATTGACTAACAACGCAAGGCAAACGTAAATAGACACGCACACATCTATCATCACCTCTCCCTGTGCGGGTGGAGAATATCTCATGAGGTATGCCGGAGAGCTTGACGACCATCTTTGGTGTCCACTCGTCCCCCAGAACATAGACGGAGTGTGCCAGTCCGTCCAGAGAGAGCAGTCCGTCTCCCTCCTGGAGTGTAGCTCCCGTGTCATCATACGACAGACCACTTACATACATCCTGTAGTTTGAACGTGAGAGTGTGTTTCAAGTATCATCAGAGTAATTGTGTGACATTATTTATCCTTTATCTCAAAATACTGATGATGAGGAAAATTTAATCGCGAATCGCGGACCATTGGAGTATCACTCCGTCCAATCTGTTTTGATAGACGTCATCAAGTCACACATTTACTACATACAGTGTTCTACCTACAATAGCAAGGCATTCATATAAAACACCATAAAGTCATTATCTTACAGACACATCAGCGTACGAGAGCCTTCACCAGACACTCGAGGGGTACGCCTGTCATTAAGGATCGTCAGCAGACGAGGATAGAGCATCGCTAGAAGGCCTCCATAGGTTCTGGGTGTGTTCTTCATGTGTTGCGTGGCATCAGCTCACAAGATGACCTCACCGGTGCCTAATTATGTATACCCAACTATCCATAAAGCCAGACTAATCACAATTCAGTCAGCCTTGAAATTCTCATTTTATTATTCTCACACTGTTTCATATGTGATCCAAGTACTGGCTACTACTTCACAACAACAACCGTTCTGTGGTCATCAGGTCTGCAGTAGAAGAAAAGAGCATTATTTCCTACTTTCATCAGCAAACAATTTTAATTGGAACAATAGTGTTAAAATCAAATTACAGTGTCGTTGATGATGTCATACTATGGCATGTCGAGGTCCTCAATGAGGGTACTGTATCTCCTCAAAGGTTCTCAGTAGATGTTCCTCCTCCTCCTCTCCCTCCTCCTCTCCCACATCTCCTCCCGCTGGACTATGGGCCTATTACAGAGGATAAGAGAGATATCCCAATAACAATCATAGTCGGCTATTATGTGCAACAATGTAGGCGACTGCAATAATAGGAATGGGAGACAATTAGAATATTATCACACAGAACCCACTGTAACGAAAGTGCAGTTTAGGATTTATTTCATCAGCAGAGCAGAAAGATATCCTTACAACAAGACGGTATTGCAGCATCTCATGCCACTTACTCTCACGACTGTCAGCGCTGCCTGCAGTAACTGAGACTCTGTCGGAGCCGAAGCTACGGCCTGCAGAGCCTCCTGCAACCACCGGCGACGCTGAGGGACAGACATCAAGAGACTCTTGCAAACATTATAAGCAGAAAAGCCTCTGTGAGCCATTGGCTGCAGGTAATATGCTATCATGCTAGCGAGAGACCCAACCTCGTCGTCCATCCGCGGCTCGCTCCTCGTTCCATCATGGTACTTTAACGACCACTTCACTAGAGCTTCCCAGTTGGCCATTCTTCCATTTGAAGCGCACCATCATGTTTCCTGTGCGCATATTTACTCTTGACTTATTAACGCGCATGCGATAGCAAGTTTACGCACATGTGCTGAATAATTGAACATTGGTGGCAATGATGAGAATGGGAAATGAGACTGGAATGGAATGGAGCCTTTGTGTAGTGTGCAGTGAATGCTGGATGGTAAGGAGAAAACAGACAGTGGGTGGTAGCAACAGACAGTGGTGGTTGGTGGTATAATGTTCACGTCTTCTCTAACATGTCTCTGATGTTGTCCGCCAACTCCTGGTCCTTCGCCTCCTCTGCGGCCGAGATGAGGGCTCGGTACGTGGCCTCTCTTCCCATCTTCTCCTTCCACACCTCCAGACACTCCCTCTTCTGTTTCCCGTAGTCCCCCGGGTACGATTTGGCGATCTCCTTCTTCTGAGCTCTGTTGAGTCCCAGGAATGGCTGGAGGTTCTCCCAATCGGTGAGGTGGTCCCTGGCAATTACTGCAAGGTCCCGATCACTGATCTCATCGTCTTTTTTCTTCTTCTCATGAATTGCTGTAAAGGGTAAAATGGGAAATGCTCAAAATCTGATTGTTCAAGAGGACTCACCAGGAGTGTTGGTAGTAGTGTTGGTAGTGGTAGAGGAGACAGGAGGAGAGGACAGGGAGGGAGAGGGAACAGAGGCAGTAGTGGAGGAGACTATGAAACACTCTGACAGTGTAGAGGAACATGAATGAAGGATGAGTATCAAAATAGGGCACACAGAGATGCAAGGACTCACCAGGAGTGTTGGTAGTAGTGGTGACAGTGGTAGAGGAGGCAGGAGCTGTGGAGACAGAGAGTGGAGGATGGGAGGTGGGGGGAACTGCATAAGATGAAGGGAAAGGAGAGGGTGTGGCTGACTGAGCAGCTGTAGGCACAATACACAGTTCCAATTAGAGCCCTTAGTGGGTAGACTACACATCAATATGGTGGTAGGGAAGACTGTTTCTAAAAGAGGCTCACCAAGAGTGATGCTAGCAGCGGGGGAGACAGGAGTAGCTGTGGCAGTAGTGGAGGAGGTGGAGGAACACTCGATGACTGAGTATATAGAGAGACAGTAGAAGGGGAAAAAACAGTGAGCAATGCCCTTGAAGAGGGGACTCACCAGGACTGGAGGAGACAGGATGAGGAGCCGTGGACACTGTAGCAGGAGAAGTAGAGAGAACTGTAGAGTGTGTATAATGAACAAAGGGTCTGCTTTGTGTCCATACAAATATGGGGAAGAGGACTCACCAGGAGTGTTGGTAGTACTGGTGGCAGTGGTAGAGGAGGCAGGAGCTGTGGAGACAGAGAGGGGAGGCTGGGAGGTGGGGGGAACTACAGAAGATGAAGAGGAGAGAGAGGGTGTGGCTGACTCAGCAGCTGTAGGGGGAAGAGGAAGAGAAAAGCATAATGAGAGTATTCCAATTAGAGCCCTCAGTGGGTGGACCTCAACACTCACAAGTAGACATGCAGAGGGTCAGCCATGGAATAGAGTCCTCGTCAATGTCTCCATACTTTTCAGAGTCGATTGAGCATGTCCACACTCTGTCCTTGTCAACAGTGGCGGGGTGGGGTTTGGCTGGGCGGGGGTGGGCGGGGCATACGATGGCTGGGACTGGAGTGTTGTTTGTGTAGCCGATGGTCTTCCCTGCTTTCTTGAGACCTGCAAACACTGCGTCATGTGCCAGTTTCCACAGCTGAGCTGCCTTCTTGGGGTGGGTGCATAGGTGGAGTTCAAAGTGGGTGAAGTGATCGATGAGTGACACGGTGCCTGCGTAGTCTGAAACGGTGAACTTGATGACGTTGCGATGGAGGCATTTCGGAGCTCCTTCCTTCTTCTGAGCCACTTTCCAGGGGCAGGGATGACTGTTTTCGGGGGACAGGAGGAAAGCTATAGTGGAGCAGAACGTTCCCATCAGGGGACCGCTGTCGGGGAAGTGAAGAGCCAGGGCTTTCCCGCCACTCACTCGGTGTTCCTCCACCACCTTCCACGCCACCACTTGCAGCAGACACGGCATGAAGTACACGTCCTCCGACATCTCCGCAAACACAAGCAACCCCTTTAGCAGGGTCACCAGCTCCTTGGGTGTGAACAGAGGTGGCTCGTAGTGGCTCTCGAACTCGCCCAGAAACTTTTCCGTCACTTCGCCGTGGTCACGGAACCTCAGCCTCTTCCCCAGCACACCTTTCTTTCCCTGCCTCATGTGGTAGGTCTCCTCTACCAGCTCTGAGACCTTATCCAGCAACATCTGTGGGCTCCATGAACACCAGCTGGGGCAGGATGTCGGGGAAGTAGAACAGCATGTTCAGACCGTCAAAGAAGTTCAGGGCTTCCCCACACGACTCGTCATCGATCTCCATCGACTCTGCCACCTGCTGGCACAGCTCTCGAGGCAGCACCTTCTTCCCCCGTTCATTTGCCACCTCCAGCAGCTTCTGGTACAGAGCGTACCATCGCAACGGCACTTTCACCTCCCTTCCCCCTTCCCCCACCTCGCTAAGACACTCCCGAATGCTCTCAGCACACTCCCTGTCCTCCTTCTCCGGCTTTGCCGCATTCAGTGTGAAGACAAAGTCGTCCCGTTTCGTATCGCAGTAGATGAGCTGCTCCCTGAACTGAGGCAAGAGGATCTCCTTCAGCCTCTTGTGCAGAGTGTCCAGCACTCCGGGCAGATGCTCGTCTGCCACCATGTCTCGGTGGGTGGCTAGAAACATCATTTTGGCGGGAGGGATGTCGGGGTTCTTGTTGTTCAGGGACCTCATGGTCCGCACGCACAGTCTCAGGGTCCCTTCGTTGGTCAGGTAGGCTGGGAACTCCCACACCAGCTTGCCGTCTTTGAAGTAACGGATCGTCGCTCGCTTGTCTAGAGACTCGTGGAGCTTCAAGACGTAGACGAATTTGGATGCACCCCTCAGGAAGACGGGCATCATCTCCAGAAGCTCGGGCTGGCCGCCAGAGTCCAGTACGAGGAACTGCTTCAGTCGCAGGATGGGCAGCAGGGAGGGAGGAGCACTGTTGATGAGATGTACAAACCCCTCATCCACCGAACTCGAAAGCAGCATGGAATCCAGCCTCCCTTCTGTTTCCTTGGCCATGGGCTTCTCCTCCGAGGATGCTGTGCTCTTCCCGGCTGCTTCAGACGTGGAACTACTCGTTTTTTCTGGAGTTGGTTGAGCTGACTGGCTGGTTGCGGTGTGGGGAGGCTGCTGGTCGGGGGAGGCTGGGGCACCACTGCTCTGTGCCACTGACTGTTGCCGTGGCATTCGCGACTTGATTACTTCAGCGATGGCGTCTGGCAGTTGGTCTAATGTTCGTTTCTTCCACTGTTTTTTGCCGTCGACGTCCACGAACACGACCTCGATGGGTCTTTTCATCAAAGGAGTGCTGTGTCGGATGGTGGGAGGGTCCACTCCGAGCAGTGCAGCGAGGGAGCACGTCTTGCCACTGCCAGCCGTGCCAAACAGCAGCATTTTGTCCAAGTCCAGCTCAATGTGGCCTCGTTTCATCTCCTGCTCGTAGATCTGTTTGGAGCGGAATCTTCCTGCATGGGAGTAAAGTGAACATGTTGAAGGGAGTGTCGACCAACCAAGAAAGTCCACTGTACCAGTGGGGAACAGCTGCTGCAGGTGATCCAATGCTCTGAGACTACTGCCGTCACCCTCCTCCACTCAGTCATGTAGAGAGCCCATGCCACAAGAGTCCAGGATGGTGCTGGATGTGAGGAGATGAAGGAGTGAATGAGGGCCTGTTTGCACTCTCTGTCACTGGTACACTGTGCCTCGATCCTGCCCAACTCAGAGTCTGGTATGTTGGCATATCCACCAAACCTCCTCCACAGACCGTCACTCATGATGTCTAGAACTGTGGAGAGGTTCTCTGGAGTGAGACTGGCCTCTGGGAACACAACAGGAGAGAGAAAGTCTTGTGTAACAAAACTGCTGGTTGCTGACAACGCCAGGCAAGTCTTTCTGCTTCATGCAAGTCACGATTGCACACTAAACTGGGGGTAACGTTAACGAGCGGCGTTCCATACCGTTCGCATACCGTTCCGTTCCCGTTTCGTTCCGTATATACCGTGCGCGGAGTATCGCGCGGAGTCAAAGTGTCGCTTCTTCCTCGAAGAAAGCCAGCCTCGCTGAAGCGCCTTCCAAGACGCGTTTTTCGAGATTTGGGCCGTCTCCTTACGACAAGAAGAAGTCCTGGGAAGCGTTTTTCAAAAGAGGGCGTAGCCCCAGATTGCTAAAGAATTCGAACGCTAATCGCTGCCGTCGAAGGCAGTCAGGCGCATAAACGACCCGTGCCGCGTTGGACGGCACAGTCATGGCGTATAAACGAAACGATATACTAGGAAAAGCTACATACCGCCGCGGAAAACGGCAAACTGAACAAAAGAACGGACCGCGCACAGGATTCATAATGACGGTCAAAGGTCAAAGGTCACCACGGGAGAACATAGCTGTTTCTAGGGACGGCGAGGTTATGACGACACAGAAGACTAACCTGGTGAGACTCGCAGGAACTCCTTCACTGCCTGTAATGCCCTCTCCTCCTTCCTGCCGTACAGTGCTCCTGCAACTCTCTCCCAGGAGGCCATCGGGGACATTGTGGAGGAAGTAGAGTAGGACCTTTGTTTTCTTCTCCTCCTCTGTCAGGGCAGCATCCTTCCTGATCTCATTCAGCACACGACGAGGAACACCAAGACCATAGTATAGTCCCCCAGATCATACCAGTCCTGGACTGAAGAGGTGACGTGACGGAGGTTGTTGATAGTGAGTGTGGGGTCTGCACAGAGAGTAGGACATAACATGGCAATACACACATCAGTAACCACGGCAGATACATCGTTTCCAAGACGACCACAACAACAAATAGCCTCAGGCACTTTTCTTTTCCTCACCTGTGACAGACTCCGCCAGATGTCGTATCTTATCTGCAGCCTCTTTCTCTCCAATCAGATCAAGAACAACAATAACTCGTCTCCAGGAGGCTAGTGGGTCGTGGTCCATGAAGTAGGTGACATATTTCTCCACCCGTCGTCCCTTATCTCCTCTGAACTGTCTCTCAATTTCCATCTGTCTCCTCACAGGGACACCCAAATAGACCCCCAGACGAACAGTCCTCCTCACGTTCCTGACAGCTCTCTGGACATTGTTTCTGGTGAACATCATATCTACACACCAGAGACAACCACAGGACATTTAACCCTCTCTCTTTAACCCCTCAACTACCATGCTATCAAATTAACCCCTTGCCCACTACAACGCAGCAAAACCAAATTTAACCCCTTTCTCACGAAGTAATTCTGTGGGCGGAAATTTTTTGCCGTGAGGCGAGGGGCGAGGGGAGGCCATGGCTGGAGGAGCTAGCGGCCGTCAGTTCTGACCACTCTCTCCGACTACCGACTCTCTCTCGCTACCTGACTGCAGCCTACACTTTCTTGGAAGAGACGACACTACAAACTAGCTACGTTACTGCTCGCCCTCGGGCTACTGACTTTCTCGCTACTTCACAACTGCACAAACGAAGCCACTCAACTGCAAAAACACACAGCTATATAGTCGCAGCCGCTACAATTGCCGGCTTCTCGGGAGTTCAAATAACAAAAATGAAGTCGTTGAGGAAAGATTATCGTCCGCTATGCGTGACGTCCAACGGTCCTGACCAATCGTATGTCCGCGCGAATCGTATGATTTATGCGCCTAGCGCATAGGCTTAGGCATCACTCTCTCATAACACAACATTAAAAAGCACAGGAATAGATAACGAGAGATTTATCGTCTGAAACATGACAACCTTACCACCAGTACCATTGACACTGACACTCCAGACCTGGGGCAAGGAGAGAGAGAGTGGGACAAGGGAGAGAGAGAGAGAGAGACTAAATACACAGCAAACAAACATAAGGGAAACTAGAACAGTTTTTTTCACACATTTTTGCTTTGCAAAGCTTGTGCCACAGAACTCCACACTCTGAATCAAGGACGAATACAAAAACTAAATCTCTGAGTAAAAGGAGACACTTTGAGGTCCAAACATTCAATTTTCAGACCGGACAACCTCCCTATTAAAACTGCCTGGTCCCAACATGTCCATATTCAGAGGTTCCACTGTATCATACGATGTGTGGACATTTTCCTTGGCAGCTAGACTATACACTACCTGGTCACTGTGGTCTTGAAAGTGTGGAGAC